AACTAGATAATTAGCTGAATGGATAGTGTACAGTGCATCATAACTAGATAATTAGTTGAGTGGATAGTGCACAGTGCATCATAACTAGATAATTAGCTGAAATGATAGTGTACAGTGCATTATAACTAGATAATTAGCTGAATGGATAGTGTACAGTGCATCATAACTAGATAATTAGCTGAATGGATAGTGTACAGTGCATCATAACTAGATAATTAGCTGAATGGATAGTGTACAGTGCATTATAACTATATAATTAGCTGAAATGATAGTGTACAGTGCATTATCACTAGATAATTAGCTGAAATGATAGTGTACAGTGCATTATAACTAGATAATTAGCTGAGTGGATAGTGTACAGTGCATTATATGTAGGTGATTAGCTAAGTGGATAGTGTGCAATGCATTTTAGCTAGCTGAGTGGCTTATGTGCAGTCGCAAGTAGACACCTAATACATGAAAAGTTAATACATATTGTAGAAACTATTGACCTCTACCTTAGACATAAAAGATTGAAGTGGGATTTGTGTTAGTTTTCTGTTATTAAAGTGAGCATTGACAAAAAAGGATTTATATTTTTTTCTTTTGTAATTTATATAGCATCTAACTGATAGCCATTGGACATGAACTATTTCTGTTGCCCTATGGAGGTAAAAGACTTATTTCCATGGTTACCCCAAGTATTTTTTGTCATTGTTGTTCTTTATGTTAATTTGAAGATTTATTTAAGTAATACAATGTTGCAGTGCTGAGTGAAGGTGGGTACAGTAGAAATACCTTGTGTCTTAAAACTCTAAATTGCAAGGATTTCTTTTAGTAACTGTGAGTTACTGAATGTGGACGTTGTCTGTAACTCGAAGTTCTGTTACAATTTGGTCGTGGTTTCACAAAAGTGGGTGTGGTTTCAAAAATATATGATCGTGGTCATTTCTGTAACTCAATGTTTTTGTAACTCGATGTTATATGTTTTGGGATTTTTTCCCTTATTTCAAAGGCCAATGTAATGAAATAGTAATTGATAAACATTACATTGTCTCCAACCACGACAAAGTCAGTTCAGTCTGGTTCATTCGCATTAGCAATCATTCACTGTCACTGTCGCTTTACTGACTTTACATACCATATAAACTACTATTCACAGCACATACACTAAGCCATTAGTTCAGCACACATTTGCAGTGTATTCCCAATTCACATATACATGTACTACACACACCTTTCCATAATACATTTCCAACACACCATGATTTGCAACATTTAGACCAAGAAAAGTGCAATGAATATGATAAATAGAATACAAAAATGTACCTCTTTTTAGCTTACCCACTGCCAGTGGCTCAATCGTGCTTGTCACATTTCTCTGAGTGAAAGTCAAATAGCAATGCAGGAATTGAACTGGACATATGAAATATGTTACTGAAATATTTTATGACCACTCCTATTCAATATTGAGCTTCCTTGCCACCCTTAAAACTGACTTCCTCAATGCTTAGATTAATTTTTTCTGTTGAAATGGGTGTTAGTGGTGAATTCACCACAATGAGAAATTGAAAGGAAGTCACTATATGCATGAGAACATCAGTAAAGTGAGTAAGCACCCTATCTTTGCGAGTTGAAAAGGGTTGTGAAAGGGAGACATGGTCGAGAACTCTGATCTTGATTGCATAACAATAAGTTCACCCATACAAGTGAGTACAAGTAAGCTATGAAAAGATTAAGTTCTCAGCAATTGAAAATTGTACAAACTGGCAAAACAAAGGAAAAATGACTGCACCAGATTTGTAAGTCTGTTTTGTTTTCGGCAATATCATAGAAGCCCATAGGGGATTCATATCCTATACTAATTATGATACTTTTTTGACATCTTCTTGAAAACTACAGTTCTTATGGCTTTGATACTTCGTGTATATGCACCTCAGGTAGACCTCTCTCAGATTTGGTTATTTCATGACGATATTTTGAATTCTTTAATTTAGATGAATATTTTTGGTAAAAAGTGTCATTTTTTACCTCTTGTTAAAAACCAACGCAAGTCTGATTGATTTGATATTATACATAAAGGTACTACAGGTGAACCTCTCTCAGATTTGTTCATATTGTGATGGTATCTTCAATTCTTTAATTAGTCCCCGTTCGGACGAAGTCCGAAAACGGGGACTTATAATTCGGCCTCCGTCCGTCCGTGTGTCCGTGCGTACATCCGGAGTCATATCTCAGAATCCCCTGGACCGATTCCGTTCATTCTGTGCATGTGCCTAGTACTTTATGTGGGATACATGTCCCTGACCGTCCGTGTGTTCCTGAGTCTGTCCCTCCGACCGTCCGTGTGTCCGTCTGTCCGTGCGTCAGTCTATCCAACGTCATATTTCAGAATCCTGTGGACTGATTCCGTTCATTCCTAGCATGTGCCTAGTACCTTATGTGGGACATATGCACATGCAGTGGTTTAGCGATTCGATTCAAAATGGCCGACTTGCAGCCATCTTGTTTTTTGAAAATGTTGTATTTTGGACATGCTTTGTCAGTTGTCATTCAAACTTGGTACATAGATTATACATGATAGGATACATGTCCATGACTATTTATTTCGCAATTGGATCAAAGATGGTCGACTGGCAGGCATCTTGTTTTTGTTTTTTTATGCAGTATCTTGGACGTGCTCTGTCAGTTTTCATTCAAATTTGGCACATACATGTACTTTATACATGTTAGGATGCATGTCCATGACAATTTGTTTCAAAATCTGGTCAAGGATGGCCGATTGACAGCTATCTGACTTTTTGGCCTTACTACTATATTTCCACAATTTATGTACCATTTTCATTCGTATTTGGT